ACTACGATGCCGGCGAACGTTTGAGAATGTACCAAGTCCACTTTCTGATGACAGCTACTAAGTCACCCTGACAACGAGACCAAGTTGCGACAACTTATATAAATCGAATGGAGACTGCGACAATACCAGGGGCCACAACATGTTGGTCTTCTTATCTTCAAGTTAGACTAAGTTTATGCAATATGGGATATATTCAGCCTATTTCGTTTAAGGTGATGAAGGACTGGTAGTAGAATTTTCCCATAATGATATGGGTAAAGCTGACGCCTCCATCCAATTTTGCATAGTCTTTTTTTCCCAAAAGTTGTTCTCATCCAGAGTGGACTGCAGTTTCGATCTCGCATAAGTCTTATCAACACCCCCAGCGGTAGCCGAACCGTGGCAATGCAAAATGTTAGCTTGACATGTTAACCACTCAGCCATATTGGCACGAGTGCCCTTGGGTCACAGGGCAGATGTCAATTTCAAAGAAGGCCTCGCCTTTCGATGAAAGGCGATGAAGCAATCGTATATTTGCTATGAAAATCGACTACATTACTTATTTTTCATATGTGAGTAGAGTTTAGAGTCTACCAGTAAATCAGTTATATGAGTTGTATTCAACCTATTTATTTTAAGGTACTGGTAGTAGAATTTTCCACAATGAAATGAATAGAGCTGACGTTTTCATTTAATTTCACCTTCCCAAAAGTTGTTGTCATCCAGGTTGGACTGCAGTTTCGACCTCGCATAGGGCAGATGGAAACGTCAGCTCTACTCAAATTATTGTAGGAAAATTCTTCTACCAGTCCTTCATCACCTTAACCGAAACAGGTTGAATGTATCTCATATAACTGATTTACTGGTAGTCTCGAAACTCTACTTACATACGAAAAATAAGTTTATGCAGCGAAAAGAGACTGAGATCGAAGCCAGATTCGTCTTCATGTTCACGATTTAATTAAGCCTATCAACACGATAAATCTCGGATGGCAAGAAAGAGTATCGACTTACCCGGTTTAGCATAGTCGTCAAGAGTGTGATGTTTCGCGGACCGCTGCATGGGCCACTGAAGCGGGGCATTTGCCACCACATCAACTCTGCCAGACTCGGTGGTGCCATCCACAATAACACCCTTAAGAGGAGAGACAGCAGCAGCAGCGGCGGCGGCGGTGGCTGCGGTGGAGGCCGAAGTGGGCAAACGGTAAAGACGTGAATCACCGACTGGCAGACTCTTGCGCTTCAGGCTGAGACAGATGCGATATTTCACATCCGACTGCAGATTGTCCAGACGGAAGGTCGTCTCATCTGCCGACCATATCGGGCTGGAGGCCGGCTGAAGGCCCTCGAAGGGCAGAGCGTAGAAGAGCTGCAAAAGGATGTGACGTCAGATAAACAATGTGTGCGTTACCGTTTTACCAGGTATATAGTTAACATATTGGTCTTGTTGTCAGAGGGACTATGTAGCATGCACCTAGTCCAAAGTCGTCTGCCATAGTAATTGTCATGATTCCCAGCATCTGACAGTGAACTTGATACATTTTTAGTCGTTTCGCCGGCATCATAGTCGGCATCAACAGTCAGTTTGGCCATTCTCCACACCAACTACGAACTCGTCAAAGAGACAAGTGAAGTCAATCCCTCGACAAACGTTCTGCCAAAAACGGTCACTGAGAAAGAGGAGTGATAGTGGAAGGATTGACTTCCCTTGTGTCTTTGACGACTTTGTAGCTTGGTGCAGAGAAGGACAAAACTCACTGATGATACCGACTACGATGCCGGCGAAACGTCTGAGAATGTATCAAGTTCACTGTCAGATGTTGGGAATCATGACAACTACTATGGCAGAAGACTTCGAACTAGGTGCGTTTTACATAATCA